AATGAACCTACCATACTCTAGTGGTTTTTCATCTTCACGAGTCTTTCACAGAGCCGGTGCCGAGGAGGTGTGTGCTTGTTTTTCGAAAAGTCATTAGGACTACTGTTTTAGATTTACTAAATATCCTCCTGAGAACCAGAAATAAAAAGCTTTGTGAATTTAGTATTTTTTCATGTCATTACATTGTTTAGAGCAACCATTTTGCTTTATGCAATATGTGTGTAAAAATTCCATAAACTGGTTTTCCCATTAAGCACAATGTTATCTATACACTGTATCTAATTTGCATATTAAAGTGCTGTTGGGACAGCATGTTGAAAAAAGAAGTGTAATGATGGGAGTAGTAATTGGCCAGATTTTCGTAATAATATCTAATATTTCATAAGAATATTGATATATAATTTGTTTTCTTATTCAATTCGTTTGTCTCCCAAAATGTATAATAAACATGATTTAAGTCCTGGTGTCCTCTACAGTGGACATGTATGAAATGATGTCCTGTTTCATAACAGGAAGTCATATTTTGATTTGAAACCCCATAACATTTTCCTGAGATGTTGATTTATGACAAACAATTTGAAAATGAATCGGATTTAAATTGTAATTACAAAATATTATCATATTTCCATAAGGATGTACAATTTTATCACTAAATTAATGTCAGCCATTTTTAAAAACCAAGGAGAGGAAGTGGCCATGGTGAAACATCCAGTCATTTGGTATCTGTGGAAAGCCCTGAATGTGCTCTGTACAGGACGTCCAGACTTAAAACTGTGACATGTGAGGTCTCAGAGAAATTCACTCAAATATAATGTCCACTACAGAGGCAAAAACTCCATAGCTGGGTCTCAGGAGGTAGTAGGCAAATATTTTTTCAAAATGCACTGAAAATCTAAACCTGAGAAACAGTAATAAAAGTTTTACTAAGTTTTAATAAAATGATTTACAGTGATGCTGTTTGCTAGCTAGTACGCTGACCATCCAATCAAAGGACGAGAATATGCTTACGTTATCGGCTAGATGGCCCTGGTGCTGCCAACTCAAAATATGATTGGCTAAAGCAACGGTTTCATTGCCATTGATTTAAGCTAACAGACGCCTGCACTGTTGATTCTGAAGGCCTTAAGGCAGATTTCTTTGACCCTGGCAACACGATTGCTGAAATATGATTGGATAAAAGCTCTAATATAAACATACACTGCTGGAAGCAGTGCAACCAAGAGAAAAGCTATGAAATGAAGAGAATAGACTATTGGAAATAATTTAATACACATTCATGGAAAAATATATTAAAACTAAATCAGTGATTCTGATAGTGTTTGGGCCAGCTGAGAAGGCTATGCTGGCCCTGACAGCCCACCCCTGGGTTTAGGTATGGGGTAGGATTTAGGGATCTAAAATATGGTCATGCACAATAAGACATTAATATGAGCTTTATAACTACTAAATATGCTCGTAACATACATGCTAATAAGCAACTAGTTAATAGTGAGAATTGGTCCTTAAAATAAAGACATTGAAGACTGGAGCAGTGATGCTGAAAATTCAGCACAGGAATAAATGACATTTTAAATATATTCAAGTAGAAAACAGTTTCATAACACTACTGTTTAAACTGTATTTTTGATCAAATAAATGCAGCAAACGGGACTTTTTTCAAAAACAAAAATCTGAATTATTCCAAACATCTGATAAGTAGTATAAATGAGAACAGTGTCTTCTGAGTAAACAAATTAAACTGCAGCACTAGGATGATGGTCATTTTTTTCTAACCTGCAGGACATGACATCAGCGGTGATCACATACTGTGGTCATTTCTTCCATGGCACATGTTTGAGAAAGTGGCTTTATGTGCAAGAGACATGCCCCATGTGCCATGCCTCCATCAAACCCTCCTCGGCTAATCCGAAAGCTGCGGCAGATGAAGCTCCACCGACCCACCAAAACCCACCTCCATCAGAGCAACAGCCTTCTCCTGAGACCCATCAGGAGGAGGAGCAGGGATCACAGGGAGACAGTGATGAGACTGACTATAAATACTCAAACTGAGAGGAATTGTAGCAAGGAGAGTCTCCAACACTTGCGCTATGGTGCAAATGGTGATTCCCAAGGTGTGGAAAATCCTGTACCCATCTGCTTATCGGATGGGGACCCTCAAGTGGCTTTTCAGGAGCTTAGGGAAGCAGACTGAAACGTAAGCTCAGTCAGAGAAGCATGAATCAGAGAAACTGGCAAAAAAATGAGCAAAGCTCAGAGAAAGTGGGACACACTGAAAGGAAACCATAACAGGAGAGGATTACGAATAACAGAATTGCCGCAAAAGACTGCAGGTACATCATTTACCCAGAAGACGTTCTGCTGATTGTGTGCTAGGACTCAGCACACCACAGCACGACCACAGCACCTCCGCAGCATTAGATCATAGTTACCAAATGATATTCATTTTGAAGAATCTTTTCTTGTTAAGATATAATGTTGGATGGTTCAGTGATGATTGTCCAGTTCTAAGGAAGACATGAAAGAGTAGATGTATAACAAACATATTCCTGTTGACAATTAACTAAGTCTGTATTTGTTTTATTTAATTGTTTGTTTTTTGGGACTTTTCTGTTGAGTTAGTTCAGATACAGGTTATGGTATGTGTGCGAATTTCATTCATTCGTGATGCAGATCTGTTGATATCTGTGCCTCTGACCTTTCTGTATTGCTCCATTGTGTGCTTTTATTTGAACTGACAATATGTAGTTGTAATGAAGGATTCGTGGTGATTGTTCTCTTAATTTCATTATGCTTTGTGGATGAGTTCCGCTGGAAATAATGGGTAAAAGACAGTCAATGAAGTTGTGAGCTGTGCATAAAGCAAAGATCGGATCATTGTTATTGGGGAGAGTCCAGTTGAAGCTGTTTAACAGAGCAGAGAATAACGATTAAAGGCTTATACAATCACACTGACTGAAAAGTTGTTTAACTTTTGCCCGGTTTAATTTGAAACTCAGTCTGTGTGATTTGAAGACTGTCTAGTTCATCGTTTCTTCTTTTGCCTTAATGTTGTATGATGATTAAAACAATGTACATTATTGCTGGCTGATATATTTATTATTTATATAGTTATATATTTAATTCACAGGTGCTTTGATTAGTGCCATTTAGGTTTTTGTTACTGCATTAATTATTTTGTTGTCTTTGTAAGTGAACTTATAAATGACCAGTATGTAGCACTTGGCAGTATCCTGGTGTTTAAAATCTGGTAATGTTATTTTTTGTGTATATGCACCATTGTAATACTATGCTATCCTCTGTGCCTTGAAGTAGCATTTAAATACCATGAATATAGTGAATAGTGGTTCTCAACCAGGGGGCCTCAAAATTATTTAATATAAGACAAAATTCAAAAGGACTAAAAATTAAGGTATTTCTTATTTTAATTACCTTCTTCCAATCCTGGATGAATAAGGTGACCTAATTCAATTTCAAATGAACAAAATCATAAAACTCCATGGATGCTTTTATAATGAATATACATTTTTCTAGTTATTGCCAAGCTAAAATATTTTATAGGGTAAGAACTGTAAGTAATATATATCATTACCCTTAATCCTTTTTCAGAACAACTGGGAAAAGGTTGAGAACTGCTGCCATAGAATACATAGATGACATGATATACATCAAATAAACTGGAATTATAATTTGATACCATCCTGGCCCTAAAGTACTGTACCTTTCACAAATGTCCCCTGTTGCTGTTTAAATCTGCCATTGTCTAGGTTTCACTGCACCGTGTTGACCATTATCTTCACATTTCATCTCAGTTACCTGTAGTTAAAAAGAAATCTTTCATTTCCAAGTATGTCAAATGTTTCTGTATAATCCCTTTACCATTCTCCATCTTGGTAATTTTTACGTGTTAATAAAAAAAATATATATATATATTCATATTTTTTTTAATTTTTAGTTTTTAGTGCTGCCAAGATTGTCACCCAGCGCTCACGGTGGCGCTTGGCTCATAATTACGGGTTGATTCGCCATTTTATCCGCAGGAGAAGAAGAAGTGGCTTCGCTAACAACAAGCTCTCGGACATCTTGTCAGCTCAGACAAACTGAAAGAGAAGTGTACACACATCAGCATTAAAGTCACCGACAGGGTCAGGGCCTGTCTGTATTCACACCTTTGATTGCCATATCGGTTTTTTTAGACATTGAACGTAAGATATATTTTTTGACATCCTGACATTTTTAATGTTACTTTTTATTTAGGCTGCTGGCTAGCTCAGATTAGCTCACATTTTGAGAAGGAGAGCGAGATTTAGGGCGCTAGTTATTCAGGAGCCACTACACCCAGTGGGAAGATGGCGCTTAAACGAATCCATAAGGTAAGTGGGAAATTATATCGAGTATAAATATATCAGCCAGTCATCTTATAAACCAGTGTATTATTAAATGTGTATATCTAGCAGCGTGTCGGCGTATGGCTTATAAAGCGAGTGCTTATTCCTAATTCAAGCGACGAACGATTTTTTTTGTATGTTTATTAATAAGGACATCAAACCTGTCGTTTTTATGTAACTTATGTATGTATGTATATATATATATATATCACATAAGTCTGTGTATACAATTTTAACGTGCCATTGTAAACGAGTGTAAATATAGGTCTTGACAGCTAATAATTATTTACGTAAGACAGTCTCGATGTCATTCGTGGTATTAAAAAAAATGTTTAGATTATAGATGATCAATCTCACATCGATATTTTACTAATAAGTAAAATAATTACTGTAGTATTGGCACTTTGTCTCGTGGTGTGGACAGTCAATTCTTACCATAGTTAGTCTTATGAAATGAAACGAAACAAAAAGTGTTTGTACATCTTGATCATTTTTTAAAGTCTTATTAATGTGATAATTCCTAAACCTTTGACGTCGATGTCCATTTTTACTTCTCATCTTTTAGCTGACATTTAGGGACTGTAAGGTTTAATATGAGATCCTAAATAGTGTTGAATCAGTGTGTTGCGAAGTTCCAGCCTGCCTGTAGTTGTGCAATGGAAAAGCTCTAGAATGATGCCAGTTTTCTACACCCCTGTCATAAAATACCCCCAGGTGTCTCCCCACTCAACAGACATGTTGAAATAAAAATAAACGTAGTGCTCTTAAAGTAGGGAGCGCAGACGGACATGCCTGTGGGCTCCTGCAGGTTGTGTTCCAGCTCTTCTCCCTCATGACCCCTCTGGAACTATAAATACACTGTGTTGCTACACATTCTATCTGCTGGTTTCATCTTGCTGTCACCATAGTGATAAAAGAGCAAAGCGCCATTATTGACCCTTCGTTATGGAGAGTCTGTGTTTTTTTCAGTAGTTCTGCATGCTTGTGTTTCATAAAACTCATTCTGACTCTTCCCTGTAGGAATTGAATGATTTGGCACGTGATCCACCTGCACAGTGCTCAGCAGGTCCAGTGGGGGATGATGGTGAGATTACAGACTTTTTACATGTATTGTGTGGTGTTTACGGCTGTACGTATTTACTGTAAACTGATGCTGTACATGCAATCTCTCATGCAGTGTTCCACTGGCAGGCAACAATCATGGGGCCAGTGAGTACAATAAAACGTTGCTGTAGAAGCATGTTACTAAATAGTAAAATACTGACACAAAATGTACAATACTGTTCAAACGTTTGGTGTTGGTTGCATTTTTAAAAAAATGTTTTTGGAAGTCTTTTATGCTAGCAAAGGCTGCATTTATTTGATAAAAAAATACAGTAAAAACAGCAATATTTTGAAATATTATTACAATTTAAAACAACTGTTTTGCATTTCAATATATTTGAAATGTAATTTATTCCTGTGATGCAAAGCTGAATTTTCAGTGTCACATGATCCTTCAGAAATCATTCTAATATGCCAGTTATTATTAATGTTGAAAACAGTTATGCTGCTTAATATTTTTGTGGAAACCATTGTTTGAGGATTCTCTGATGAATAAAAAAGTTAAAAATAACAGCATTTATTTGAAATTGATTTTTTTGTAACGTTATTGATGTCTTTACTGTCAATTTTTATCATTCTAATGCATCCTTGAATAAAAGTATTAATTTTTGTAAAACAAAGATCTTTAAATTAAAATGAAAAGAAAATCTTACTGACCCCAAACAATTTGAAACAGTAGTGTAAATGTACTAAAGATATTTTCCCCCTTTTTTATAAAAAAAAAACCCAGAATGAAAGTCCATATCAGGGTGGTGTTTTTTTCCTAACCATACACTTCCCAACAGATTACCCCTTCAAACCACCAAAGGTAAGAACGTTAAAAACAGCACAAAATACCTTTCTTTTTTTTTGCATGTTTGCCTGTAGGTAGGTGTGTATAACATTTGTTTTCTTTGTGTTAGGTTGCATTTACTACAAGAATCTACCATCCCAACATAAACAGTAATGGCAGCATCTGTCTGGATATCCTCAGGTCCCAGTGGTCTCCTGCACTTACTATTTCTAAAGGTACACACACAATAGGTGTTTCTTTATTAGAAAATGCTTAGAAACAATTAGTCCTAATACTTGAAACAAATTAGGCCTATAATAGATACATAAGGTAGCTCCAGTTGACTTAATTGATTGGACAAGCAATGTGATATTTTGTATAATTGAATTCCCTGTGCTATATGTCAATGTGTCTCCATATTGTGCTCCTCTTTATAGTTCTCCTGTCCATCTGCTCACTCTTATGTGACCCCAATCCAGACGACCCTCTTGTGCCAGAGATTGCCCGAATCTATAAAACAGACACAGAGAAGTAAGTACAGCCTGAGGCACACAAGTATTATGCTTTCATTTGCGCACATCTGGTATAAATGTAATTATTTTTAAATTATACATTATTTGCTATATTTAACATTATTTTTGTAAATTTGTTTTCTTTTTTGTATTTTGTTATCTTCCACTTATAATTCATTTGAACTTACTACAAATTTTTAAATCTAGTGAGAGTCTCAGATTTTTTTTGCTGGACCGTAAAAATCATTGCTTATGCTTTATAAGTGAAAGCAAATTAATATTATTTATCTTTTTGCTAGAGAAGCCAGTTACATTTACATTGTAAGTCTGATCCAAAAAGCTTATTTGAATGCAGTCAGCACCAAATTACAGCAGTTTATCACAGATAATATCAGCATCAAACCTTAATTTAATAACATTTGACTGTTGTTAAATTTTTTTTAATATGTAATAAATAAATAAGGGCACCTTATGTCAGCCCTTTTTTCCTAAGTGATGTGGTTGTGGGCATCATTTTAAGACACAAGGTTTTTGTGAATGGAAAGGGCTGTCAGAAGAGCAAGGACTTTTTTTCTAACACACCATGCTCTATCAGGTATAATAGAATGGCAAAGGAATGGACAGAGAAATATGCCATGCTGTAGGTGAAAGTCAACTCTGCATTGTGAACATTAGAGGTACTGTAGAGAGTGAAGCGCTGCAATCTGTTGTTTCCGGTGTGTTGCAGCATGAGCGTGTGGCCACAGCAGGTGTGCATCACTAATACATGCTATCATGTCTCTTCGGAAATGACTGAGAAAAGCACAGAATGCTTTCAAGTGAAAAGTCAGATATGCTTTTATCTTTCGCAAACGCAGCAGTCTTGTGATTTGTTAGGGTTTATTTAGTCCTGCATTCAACCTTACAGTAAGCATGGCTTTTAATCAGCCGTAAAGTCTTACAGCAGCATGGATATCGTCCTCTTTTGGAAGACCAAACAAAGTAGTTTCGCTTTCACAACGAAACACAGCGTTACACACGGTGTCCTTGAGTGAGCGGCGGCTAGAGTGAGCAGAGGCCAGCAGCTAGAGTGAGGAACGGCCGGTGGGCTTGAGAACGGCGCGGCCGGCGGATTCGACGAAGGAGCGTCCGGAGGGCTTGCGGCAACCACATGTGACGACCCCGGGCTGGACTCCGCTTCGTCCACGGTGAAAGCCGATCCAGCGATCCACAGCGCGAAGTTGATGTATTTCCTCAGCGACCAGCACGGATCAGCTCTAGGCATGACGAAGCGGATATCATCCTCTTTTGGAAGGCCAAACAAAGTAGTTTCGCTTTCACAACGAAACACACAGCGTCTTCACGACATGGCTGCAGCAACAATACTACAGCGAGAATAAAAGCTACACCTTCTTTCTTTGCATGAACATTTGGGTGGCGTTATGCAAATCTTCCCACATCGTGACATAGACATGTGGGGGTGTGTTAGAACGAGCCGTTTTAGGTAGGCGTGGCTGACTCTTAACTTTTATAAAGAATATCTCTTTGGATTTGAGACTTTAGTCTTTGCAACTTTACAGATCTTCTTTATGCACCAAGAGCTTGTAACACTTCAAAGAGAATGGAAAAATTTAAATGATATGATATTTAAATCATATGACCCCTTTAAGTAGGTGAAAAATGTTAGAGTTGTAAATTCTTGCTTCTATGCTTCTAAAAGCATTTTTGGTTTGTGTGAGCTAGTTGTAGCACTGCATGAGAAGCATCAGGATGCTAGTAGAAATATAGTAAACATTAAGGCAAGATACTACAGGCAAACAAATTTTCTTTTTCATTTGAGATTTTGGGTTATTTGGCTTTTAATAATGTGTTCAGACTAGTGGAATAAAACACACTTTTAAGTGTTTAGTTTATCACACTTTATCTATTTGCATCTGTAGATTACAACTACTATACATATCTTTAGAGGCAGTTTCTCAGAATTAGTTTTTGTCCCACTCACTGAGCAATGCACTAACACTTACATACACCAAACAGTTTTATTCCAATTAAGGGATTTCATACAAGTAGTTATTCCTAAAAACATGGTGATATATATGTTTTTTCTGGCTGCTAAATTTCCTGATTTACCTGACCTTATCCAATGTTCAGATTTCTGTTCAGAAAATGTATGTAAATAAGTGCATATTTAGTTAGATAATTTGAATATTTCAATATAAAATTTCAGAAATGTGAAATACAAGAAATGTTAGCATTTCTTAATATAATCAATCAACTGTGGTGATGTCTATTAGTTTTTTTTTTTACATTCATCTGGGGTGTCTTGCCTTAAATCTTCAAGTAAAAATGTTTTAAAAAGAGATCAACTGAAGTACCGGTACATCATTAATGAAGGAGAAATTACATCGAGTCATGAGAAGGGTTTGAAACTGAACTGCATTTTGGCTGCATGAAGGGTCACTTGATTTCAAATGTCTAATATTTTTCTGTCCTCTTTGCAGATACAACAGAATAGCGCGGGAATGGACTCAGAAATATGCCATGTGATGTTTTCTGGACACATTTATACACTGTTTGTTCTCTCATGTTTCGGACACTGTTGCAAGACCATATTTCCCCATCTGTCTCTTATGGAGGCACAATCCCAGATTTCTGCTCAACCAGGAATGCAGGCCTGCTCCTGGCCTTTCCACACTACAAAGTCTTGAAATGGACCTCGCCAGTCTGATGGAAGTTCTTCCACTCTCAACTCTGCCTATCTTTGATCTTTACCAATCAACTCCTCTCACTCCACAACACGACATGCCTGTATGACCAGAGTGTGTTCTCTCAGAGCTGCTCGGAAAGAGAATGTCTTTAGGTTGTTCTGCTTTTTTGAGGGCTTTACTCCTGGAGTGCATGCAGTCACAGGAGAAAAGGTCAGATGTTGTACATCAGTGGTGAGAGATTGGGACTGATTCCTATATCCTGTTTGATTGTAAAGATTTGCGACATTCTGATCAGCTGTTGGCCCAACTTTTCACAGCCGTGACACTGAGATACAACTCGCTCGATTGGCTTAAATATCCGTTTAAAATCCCGCTACTTTTTTCTCTCAATAAATATGTATAACTCATTGCTGTGGGGTTGTTTTTCTATTTGAATTTTACTGTCTGTATTTAGATGAACATAGATTAGACTGCTTTTTTCCACATATATTGAATATGGAAAGTGGTTATGGTTTATCACTTGAAATTAGCATTTGAGGCCATGAATAATTTAGAATGAATCATCTGATTATTAGTGTACTTGATAAGGTTTGGTAAGGACAAAAATATTTATCTTTGCATTTTTTGTATTGTAAGATATAGAACATAAAACATAGCAAGTGATTAGAATGAAGATATCAAATGTTTTCTAATTAAACGTGATCTTAAATTTTAAACCGCATTTCTAGTGGTGTTTCGTTATTGAACGAATGGGTGTTTTTGAATAAATCTTGCGAATCACTTTTCGTTCACTTCCACTGACAGACTCGTTTTAAAGCGCGTGAATGCTTTCCTGCGTTCAAATGCATAAAAGGCCACTTATATAAAAAATAACTGAACAAATCAGTGAATGAATAGTCAATTAATCAAAAGATTGTAGTTACGAGGATGGATCAATATCCCCACCACTAGGTAGCAGTGCAGGCAAAATAAAAGCCCTTGTTTTCGCTACAATATTTAATTTTCAAGCATAGTTAAAATTCCATCATTATATTTAAATACAATTAATATACTTGTATTATTTTTGTAGAATATTTTTCGATCACATACCCTAAACGTAAACGCCACCGGATGTTTTTGCTTCCACGTGAGAGAGCAGCTGATCTGTGCTTTTGATTTCAACCGGGAAGTGCAGCAGAAAACACCAGGGCGGTGTGTTTATGGCTTTACCTACCGTGATTCAACAATATAATATAGAAATGGCTTTGGTAGTGTCAAGTCGGCCATGATTAATAAACATGAATCACGTGGTATGGTCTTGCGTGCTTTTCCCTTTTAGAGCTCCTTTTTCCCGACAGCCCTTTTGCGTCTGAAGTGAAGAGCTCCAGTCTGGGAGTTGATGTTATCTCTCTGAACGGGAAATGGCAGCTGCTGAACTCAAACTCATCTGTTTCTCTCAGTGCGGAGGTGCCGGGCTGTGTTCATACTGCTCTGCAGCGTCAGGGATTCATTTCGGTATTACAAACAATTACAAACATTCTAAAGTCATTATTAACAGTCCAAACTCTGAAATGAATGTTCCTATAAACTTTATTGTGTGTCAACAGGATCCATATTATAGGTATAATGACCTGGCCTACAGATGGATTTCACTTGACAACTGGACTTCCACCACATCATGCTCAGTACCCAGGCATGTTAGGTAAGTCCAACTAAGCCTGCCCTCTGATTTGTACCATACATCTAGAGCTAGAATGTCAAGGATGTGTTGGTTTATCATTAGACAGGACCACAGATGGAATATTATGTGCTCTTTACAGAGGGAAAGGGAAAGCCGTCCTAGTGTTTGAAGGAGTCGACACAGTCTCTACAATTTCTCTCAATGGAGTCACCATCGGAAAGACAGACAATATGTTCCGCAGACATGTAAATATATAACCCTTCTGTGTACAAGCACGTTTTTTTGAATGGTTCTTTATATGTTTATGGACTCTAGCATAATAGTACTAATAACAACAAAGGTTTTCCTTAAAAGCACTTTTTTTCCCCAGAATGTTGAAATCATAAAGATTTTTTTCTTCAGGATTTTGAAGTCACTGATTTGCTGAAGGATGAAGATAATATTCTCCAGGTGTGGATTATGTCAGCTGTGACATATGCATCTCAGAGGAGTCATGCCCACACTGAATACAGGGTACCACCTGATTGTCCTCCTCCTGTACAGAAAGGAGAGTGTCATGTTAACTTTATCAGAAAGGTACACACAATGTCACACTCGCAAACCCAAAAAGTTCATTAAGAGTATATGGTGATACCACTTTTTTGCTGAAGTACTGCCATTAAATATGTATCCAATATACTGTATATTTAATTAATTAAATAATATAATTAAAAACTTTTTTGTTATTGGTTTCCTGATTGAGTTTTTGGTCTCTTGCTGTTTTCAGGCTCAAAGCTCATTTAGCTGGGACTGGGGTCCATCTTTCCCTACTCTGGGCATCTGGAAGGGAGTTCGTCTGGAAGTCTTCAACACTTTAAGGGTTCTAAGTTATACCACAAATCCAAGATTTGGTACACACATATTTGCATATGAAGGAGAAGGGATTTTAGACATTAATATAATATCAAAACAAATCAACATAATATGCAAATCCCTCTTTCCTCCATATTCTTGTCCTGTTTCTCTCCATGTCTTTCTGTCTTTCTCTGTATCCAGACTCTGAACATTCAAGTTGGAATGTTGAAGTGGAATTGTTCTTTGACATTTTTGTCGCATCTAAGGGCCTTGTCCATCTGTCCATGCCATTATTGCAGTCAGAGGCAGAATTTCAACTGTCCCTTACACCTGGGCAGAGTAAAAAGTGTTTTGTCTTACAGCTCAATCAGGTGAGATCAGTTCTAGTTTGCTTGATTAAGACCATTTCGTATCATTTTAACATGCATTTCAAAGGAAATGTCACATACTGTATATCAGTGTTTTTGTTTTTTTGTATCGAGATAGTATTATAGTTGGGGATAATATTATCGTTTTTTAATTAATATTTGTATAATTAATTAATATTAAGAAAAAAGTTTTCATTTTAATTTTAGTTTTTATGGTAGTTTTAGTAATTTAGTTGTTTTTGTCATTTAAAAAATGTCTTACAGAGTTTTAATACATTTTTATTTCAGTTTTAGTTATTTGAATCAAGTTAAACAATGAAAATGAGAAATGGTGCTTTGGCAACTAGCTGAAATAAAATACGTTTTTACGTCTTTTATATTATATTTTATTTTACTTAATTTTTATTTTATTTCAAGTAATTAAAATGTTTTATAGTTTTAGTTTTAGATAACAATAATAACCTTGATATATATAATGATAAATATTGTGTTCACTGTAAGAGTGTAAGTTTGTGGTGGCCGTTTGGACATGGAGAGCAGACTCTATATGACCTGATGATAGATGTCAACTTGGAGGATGGAGAGGCATTTAATGCAGAGCGAATGGTAATCTTTCTCTCTGTTTATTTTATTTTTTTCTCAGTCTGCATTATTTCACTCTTGTGTTGTGGTTTTGTGTTTCAGGTTGCTTTCCGCACAGTGGAGTTGGTCCAGGAGCCTATACCCTCATCCCCTGGCCTCAGCTTCTACTTCTGGATCAATGGGAAACCAATTTTCCTGAAGGGTTCAAACTGGATTCCTGTTCATGCCTTTCAGGAGTAGATTTACAGCTTAAAGCAACCTAGTTCAATGGCCAAACTGAAGGTCTTTTAAGCCATAAACAGTCCAACTATCATGCATGATCCTACGCAGACGCTACAGCTGTTAAATGTGAAATCACTTTGAAGCTTTAGTCATCGTGCCATGTTTCTGCATTGGCGTTACAGGATCCTACTCCGGTCTGCACAGAAGGCGAATATGAATGCTTTAAGAGTGTGGGGTGGTGGAGTGTATGAGCAAGACATCTTCTACAGCCTGTGTGATATGTATGGAATCATGGTGAGCTTATTAAATGACATCCCCCCACCTGTGACATGCTTTAAATGATTGATTTGTTTATTTGTTTGCTCTTATGTCAGATCTGGCAGGACTTCATGTTTGCCTGTGCGTTGTACACTACAGAAAAGGATTTTATACAGACAGTGAGGGAGGAGATCACACAGCAGGTTTGCATACATAGTACTCTCATATATTATGTTCACCTCAAATAAATGGTCAATGATATATTAGAGTGTTTAGAAAAAAAATTTCAAGAAAAGTTTAAATGAAATGATTCTAAAATTTCATGTTGTGAGTGAATATTTTAATACAACATTTTTTCCATATCGAAAATAAAGTATTTAGTACAAATATCATGAATGATCACTATTAAAAATAGTTGTTAAATACAACTGAAACATATTATATATATATAAAATATTATATAAAATATGAAATATAAATATTTGATGAAAAAATTACTAAAATTGAAATAAAATAAATGAAAGCTAAATATAAAGCTAAAAAAAACCCCAAAAACTAATAAAAATGCTCCATAACAAAATTACTAAAACTTAATCTAAAGTTAAACCAGAAATATAAAAATAAAAGCTAATCAAAAATATTAATACGTACTATGATATTATAAATGATACTAATAACTGCTCCAAGGGTCAAATGTTTTTCAAATATAATTAAGAGAAGCAGTTTTAGTAGAATGCTTTTTTCCTAAGAAATAATATAAAATATTTCTTCATTATGAACGCAAGACATGTTTGACTTTATGCCACCGAGAACATTTCAAAATTTAAAAACATTCTTATCATAGAAGAGGTGTATTTACACCATTGTGTGAATTGCATTTTTGTAATGAATCTTTTGAATAAATTACAGATCCAGACGAAAGAAAGTGAGCATCATTGACCCACCGGTTATTGTTTACAATTATATGGACATTTGTTGTGGTTCAGGTTCGACGGTTGAAATCTCACCCCTCTGTGGTCATCTGGAGTGGGAACAATGAGAACGAAGCTGCCATTGCAACTGACTGGTTCAACATACCTGTTGCTGAGCGACCACTGTATGTGAAAGACTATGTCAGCCTGTATGTTGAGAACATCAGAGACATCGTCCTGCAGGTGAGACTGAGATACATACACACTAATATTCAAGTACTATCTTAAGCCTTTACCAAAGGATGCTGTGCTTTAATTCAGGAGGACAGCACCTGTCCTTTTCTAGTGTCCAGCCCAACCAATGGGGTTAAGTCTGAGAAGGAAGGCTGGGTGGCTAAGGACCCCGATGACCCCCACTTTGGAGACACCCATTACTACAGCTATTACAAGGATTGCTGGGACTGGACTGCTTTCCCTCGCACACGCTTTGCCTCTGAGTATGGCTTCCAGTCCTGGCCTTCATTGTCTACACTTAGTAAGGTACTACACTTAATAAAAATCCATCTGCTTTTTGAGATTTAACATCTGCAGTATGTACTACCTAGAACTAGTTTATGTTATGATCCCAAAGCTGAGTTAGTGTAATGAAAGTGTACTCTCTTTACTTTTATTTCATTATTATTTTATTATCTGCAAGCACATTTTTTATATAAATATAATATAGATTTGAAGTACATTACAAGTGCACATTCAGAACAATTAAGCATGCTTCAAAAACATCACTTAACCCTCTTGTTTTTCAACTTCTCCCCTCCAACCAGGTTTCAGTGTCTTCAGACTGGGATTTCAGGAGCAATTTTTCAGCTCATCGGCAGCATCATGAAGATGGAAATCAGAATTCTACCACCGCAGCTGTAGTGACATTGTTGAGGCCAAAGGTCATACGATGGGCACCCTTTACTGGCAGCTCAATGACATTTGGCAGGAGCCTTCCTGGTCCTCTGTAGGTAAATGAATCATGTGCACGTCTACCACTCTTCATCTCTATATAGAAGAAAGCATTCTTGCTTACTAAAAGTAATTTGTCATGCATGTGCACATGAGCATACAAAGTCAAAGTATGCTTGTTGACTGGGAAATCTCTTGTACATTCAGAGTTTGGTGGTAAATGGAAAATGCTACACTACTGGGCTACAGATTTTTATGTACCTATGCTCTCAGTGGGGGTTGAGGACAAAGGAGATCTGCTGATCTATGCCGTCTCTGACAGCCACTCTGAGAAGCACACTGATTATTGTTTGAGCATTACATGGGTAATTGTAGGGGGCTAAACAAACCTACTATTTAAAGGAAATAGTATTAGCCAAAAAACCTCTGAATAAGGATCAAACTGGCGAGTTTGTGATCGTGGAGCCCACGCATAGCGGCCGCCGTGAGGCATCCTAAGCGACACAGATTCCTAATGAACGAGAAAAAATACAAAGTAAAGAGTTAATTAGAATAAGTTAATGTAAGAATAATCAGAGACCGACAAACAACCAATGTGCCTTTCAACCTAAATTAGAATTCAGATACTAAAATGGAGTCAGATTGAGTTAAACCTAAATTGAATAACTCGGCGCGCTGAAAAGACCGAACACGCAAGAGACCTTCATCCGCCACTGGATACCTTCGTTGGGCCAGGTGCGCGGACCTTACAATGTCAAAGCTAAGGTAAGATGGTAGTGCTTCATAACATAATTGACTATTGTTTTTGGTTATTATATAATGATCATCTATTGCAGAGAATGTTAGATTAAAATTGTATGACATTTTAATTTAGAGTTTTAATGCAATTCAAAGTTTTAAGAGAATGAATTAAAGGAATAGTTTACCCAAAAAATCCAAAATGTAGAGTTTTGTTTCTTCATCGGAACAGATTTGGAGAAATGTAGCATTATATCACTTGCTCACCAATGGATCCTCTGCAGTGAATGGGTGCCATCAGATTGAGAGTTCAAACAGCTGATAAAAACATCACAATAATCCACACGACTCAGTCAGTTAACATCTTGTGAAGTGAAAAGCTGCTTGTTTGTAATAATCTGACGGCACCCATTCACCGCAGAGGATCCACTGGTGAGTAAACATGTTTCCATTTTGTGTTTACCTCTATTAGATTATTTTTGAATTTTGACCAGTATTTGTCATGTTATGCTCATGTTCACAGGTGAAATTATACCGCTGGAGCAGCTTTAACGCTGTGTGTTCTTTAGAGTCCAACGCGACTACAATAAAAGCAGGAGGAAGCACCCTTGTGTTTCAGCTTTCTATATCAGCTCTGTTGACGCAATGTGGGAACTGCACACGGCGCTCATGCATAGTTGCTTTTCTTCTCAGTAGTCCAGAAGGTCAAATGATCAGCCCTCACAATCACATCTTCCTCAGCTCTCCACGATATGCAGAGGGTTTGCAGAAACCCAATATCACGGTAAAAACCATACATTCTCGCACACCATTTACAAACACATCCACCTAAGCAGAGATGCAAATGCTTGTCCTTAAGAAATTGAATCCCTCAACTGACTGACAGGTTTATTTTATTTGTATATTGCAGTTTACTGTAAAGGACACTAGAATTGTGCAGAGCTTTTTCGTGACTCTGCACTGCTCCTTTCCTGCTGTGTATGTTTGGCTGGATGTTGACGATATTCCCGGTCACTTTGATGTCAATGGCTTCCTGATGCTGTCTAAAAAATCCACAGTTATTTTTGGAGCATGGAGACTCACCACTGCTGAAGAAATCACTGCAAATCTTCATATCACGTCTCTCAGGGATGTCTACTGATTTTATGATGTGCTTGACAAGTTGTCTGACTGACGGCTTTAAAATCAACTATTCAAATGTAATAAAAGATTGCAGGGCACTGCATTCTCAGGACGGCCCTGTTAATTATTACTTGTATGTGTGTGTGTGTATATATATATATATACACACACATATATATATATATTTTATATTAAAACCATATAAAAACAAACTGCATAGTCCATTGTTGTTGGTATATTAATATAAAATATTTAATTTTTACTTAATGTGGCTGTTTTCGAAAAACACCAAGTCATGTTGGTCAGTGATAAAAAAATAGGCTTCCCTGAGAAATGTGCAAATATTGGCATTGTGTTCTTTTCAATGGCTGTAACGTCCTTCTACAAGATCACTTGAATGTTACTCAAGTCAGACCTGAACACGTTGCAAGAATGTCTGGAAAAGCGCAAACAAAGGCTTCATTTATTGACACGGAGTGACGGCAGTGATCCGGCTGGCAGTAGCAGTGGTTGGGCAGCAGCATGTTGCTGTTCTTTGACCCTCAGTGCTGCAGAAGTTTCTTTCCTGATCTTTGCTCAGGAATGGATGAGTGAGCGTCAAGAGGTGGACTCCACTATTAAGACTACAGATTGATTAGTAAAGCCGTCAAATAGTTGTTCCTCTCACGTCCAGGAGATTGCAAATCATTTCTGAAAAGGAAATGAAAGAAAAGGGTTTCTCATTTATTAACCTGAGGCTTCAGTTATTAGTTAGAATGTGCGCACGTGGTCTCCATCCGTCTTGACCGTCGACTGCTTTACACTGTTCTCGGATAGTTGTTCGGTAAAGTTATTCATTTCGAAAGGATAGAAATATGGAGGAAAGTTTCATGCAAAGTGTTTTGCGCTTCTACGGTGAAAGCAAATCGCTGTCCACGGGAAACCTGGACAATTTTCTGCGCCTCATTACCAGCCGCCGCGCGGCATCTGTCGACGATGAAGCCAATCCGCTGAAGAACACTGAGGTAATGCCAGTTTCTTTCGGCAAGCTGCACTTTAACTAATAGAGAAAGCAAGCAACACAAGTGAAAGGTCACGGACATATTCTGAATGTTTATTTCACACAAGAAACAAATGGAGGGGGAAAAAAACATTTTTGAAAAAAGATATTTCATTCATATTTTATTCTATGTCCTTGTAGAAGACGCCAGCATTACGTTTTTCAAAAAAATAAATAGACATGAATAGCCTATAGGCAGAAACGATGTTTTATTTTTTCATTCACCGATCAGTTTTTAGGTTTCAGGCTGTTTTTGACCAAACTTTGTACAAAGATGATTCTCAACTATGCTTTGAAAGATATAACAGAGCGGTTTGATATACAATTTTACTTAATGCAATATGTGCGTAAAATGTCCATAAATTGATATTCCCATCTATGAGACTACTGAATCTAATTTGCATATTAATTGGGGCACGCTATAATGAAAAACGTCAGTCTCAATGATCTGGAGATGATGTGTCCAGCTATTCTCAATCGGGTCCTGCTCCCTGCCTGCTCTCACACCTCCCCCTCAAACCTCAATGATTCTTCATTATTACCTGATCACAAAGGTGAGTCTGAATACCACAAACCCTTTCATCTTGGTGGAAACGACAATCAAATGTGCTGTATGAAGTCAGGAAAATATACAGTATTTTGATTAATGAGGAAATAGACCGAGATTACAATAAAACCTCGAGACCAAATCAACTTATTTTACCATTTTATCAGGGAGTTACAGATTGATTCCCTAGTGTTTATTTTGGGTGTGAAACTCGGCCAAGTATTTTACACTTTTGTGTAATCATGGTTTTGACCTTTTTGCTTATGAATCACAATGGTTAAAAGTTGATATTATTATCACACCACACATTACACACAGATTCTTTTAGAGAGCAAACACTTGAACTGATAAGTGGATTTTCCATGACCCATCATCACATTGTTGATTCACTGATTTTGTTGAAGGTTTTGAACTGTGCGGTATCAGTTTCTCATTTCACATTCAGAAAAAACAGCCTTTGTCTGATCCCATTTCAGATGGTAATGATGTCCTCACTAACAGGCTGTAAAAGAGTATTTTACTTCACTGCATCCAGTAACAAAACTTAATACACTTCCTGCATTAGGTTTCTGTGTTGGGATGCAGTGAAGTTGAACTGCATTAAGTTGTGATAAATTGAAACTACAGTTTTTTTTTTCACTTCTTAAATTGAATTGATGGAAATAATTGTAATATTCCTCAATATATGTGTAAATCCGTTTCCTCCTTCCTGTAGTTTGGGGTTATGGTTTCCTGGCTGTGACCGTGATAAACTTGGCTGCTCTGTTGGGGTTATTTCTGGTGCCTTTCACTAAAAAACCATATTTTCCAAAAGTCTTGACGTATTTCATTGGACTGGCCATTGGGACACTGTTTTCAAATGCTGTACTGCAACTTATCCCAGAGGTAAGAATGAGTTACAATGAGATTATGAGATGATATTTGAGAGATAAAATGATTTTCAAAGGTATAGATGGAAAAATATGTAGCTCTAGAGCAGTGTTTCTCAACCCTGGTCCTGAGCGCCCCCCAGCACTGCATTATAAGATTGGCCAAAAAACAGTCAATTACTCAAAATCTTCATGCATGCAGTCCTAATTCTTATCTTTTTTGCCAACTGAACAGGCCCTTGGCTTAGATCCTAAAGATGATAACTATGTGCTAAACGTAGTTGGTATTTTTGGTGGATTTTACATTTTGTTCTTCACTGAACGAGTTTTAAAGATGGTACTGAAAGCAGATACAGAGGTAAGAGCTTGTACATGTGCACATTATTCAGTAGAACAGATCAAGCTGTTTGCAGGCCTAATTCAATGGTTCACCTCCACTGCAGCTGGGACACAGTCATTTCCCTCCCCTGCAGTCAGCTGATGTCACCATCACCACCTTTAGCAATGACGTTGTCATAAACAACATCAGCGGTGGCATCATCACAAACAACACCAATCATGAGATAAACTCTATCAATGAAAAGTCCAACAACCCAAGTGAGAGTCCAGCTGTTGAACAGGTAATACAGATAATTCACTAATTATATACACACACAAAAAAAATAAACACTGCGATTTCCCTGTTCGCACCCAGATGTTTACCAGATCCTTCAGGAAATGTGCATGATTTCCTGAAGTAGTGAAAGCACAATAAATATTAGGTTAAAGATTAATGATTTACAGAAGCACATTATTGATCTTGCATGTGGGCATGTGCTCATCTGCTGTTTGTTGACTTTGTCTCCTTCAGTTCTCTCAGAAATGTTAATTCACCATCTAATGATATTTAAACTAATAGGCAGTCCACACAGTTAAAGCATTTTTGTTTCTCACCAGTTTTTTTCTACTAATTGTTTTTCAATGCAAACATCCACTAGACTGCACATACAGTACGTCAGAATATAATTTTAAATACCACAATTGTGACTATATTTCTTGTAATTCTGACTTTATATGTCACAATTGCAGCTTTAGCTATATATATGTGACTATCTGACAGTGGGACTTTATTTAACATTTGTCTTAAGTAGAAACATGTTTCCATTCTAGACCGTTATCTTTGACCAATGCACTGCTTCTCTCTGCATTTTTAGCATAATTTGAATGAGTGCCTTATTTGAAAGGTGCTGTTTCAAGCTAAAAAAAAAAAAAGGTTACCCATTGACGACGCAAAATCAGTTATTTTCTGTTCTTCAACATTATCAGCCAATCACACAGAATGTGTTTTTGTGTTTAAAAATGTGAGATGCAGGGCAGTGGAGTTAAAAAAAATTATTAGAGATGTGTTTTTCTAAAAGTTCACACAGAACTTGAGCTTAAAGGGATAGTTCACCCAAAAATGAAAATTTGATGTTTATCTGCTTACCCCCAGGGCATCCAAGATGTAGGTGACTTTGTTTCTTCAGTAGAACACATATGATGATTTTTAACTTTAACCGTTGCAGTCTGTCAGTCGTATAATGGATGGCAATGGTAACAAAATCTATGAGAGTAAAAAAAAACATGCACAGACAAATCCAAATTAAACCCTGCGGCTCGTGACGACACATTGATGTCCTAAGACACGAAACGATCAGTTTGTGCCAGAAAAATCCATGTATCATTCGATCATTTGTTTTTTTATTTAATATTGAAAGTAGAAAAATTAGAAAAAGGCTCCTTTTTTGTTTTTTGGAAAAAAACGAAAAATTCGAAATTAGCTTAAATTTTAGTTTTTCGTTCATGGGTGGAAAAATGAGTAAACAGTTTGAATATTCGATTTCTACATGTGGGCGGGAATTAAATGCCCCTTTCTGCTGATTGGTCAGCCAAAGATCAAACTGTGCCTTCTTCAGTTCTTCCGCAGTATCACGCAGCAGAATAATAGTCCTCAACTGCTGCAGTTGTACGGATTAATAACCCATTTTATCAATTTCATATTTTTCTCATCAAACAGACTAATGAATAGCTCGACACAACTCGTACTGGGGCAGAGTCTAGTCAGGTCTTTCTTCTGTGTAGACCAGCGGTTCTTAAAGTGATAGGGGGTCCGAGAAAGAATGCTATAGCCTAAAGTATTTCCAGACTGTAAAGTGGCTTTTTTTATCATGATACATAGGCCTACTGTGATTTATTCCAAAGTGACTTATATGATGCATTTAATGCTTATATGAAGCCTTTTAAAAGACAAGTATTAGCTGTGGTTCATGTTTGTGGCATGCGCCAGAAAGATGCTCAAGGAGACTAATGTGCTAAAGAAGCGCATTCTGTTGTTCTCTTTATTTTTCAAAGGCATGACATTTTGTAGTTATTTTGAACGTAACGTTACATAATTAAAAATATACATTTTACCATACGACTATAAATGACAGAGTATTAAGTTATTTCCCCTCGATGGGGAAAAAAATCCAAGTGAACATCAATCAGTACTCAATATTAATTTAAACTGCTTTAAATATGACTGCTGCTTATTTCCTGTGCGCTTCAATACTGGTCTGTGCTTGACTGTAGTCGCGTCTGTCTGCTTATTGAGTTTATTTAACCCATCGCAATTTATTGGAACTGTCTGAACTAGAGTCACTACTCACCTTAATGTTCTTCTAAAGGCTTATTACTTAATAAC